GACTAGCACGTGTGCCATGGCACTGGGCCCACCACCGATGCAGCCTTCAGATCAAGAAACAGCATGGCAACTGCACACACAGGATGAACATGAAGCCTACTGGGTGGGGATTTGCACAGAATAACCAGGAAAAGGCGGTGGACTCATCACAGCCTAGAGAAACTAGCACGTGTGCCATGGCACTGGGCCCACCACCGGTGCAGCCTTCAGATCAAGAAACAGCATGGCAACTGCGCACACAGGATGAACATGAAGCCTACTGGGTGGGGATTTGCACAGAATAACCAGGAAAAGGCGGTGGACTCATCACAGCCTAGAGAGTCTCTAAAGCCATTTTACTTTGCAGAATTCAGTGGATGCAACTGTAAACAGAACTGGGCATTATGACAAATTTGCCATCGTTGAGTCAGAAAAGACCATTTGATATTGCACACTGAAAAAATGTCCAAGCACTACTACTTGATTTAAAAGACCATCAGCTAGTGAAATGGCTCAGTGGAGAGTACATTCTCTAGATCCTGGGTTCAGTGTTCACTCTTAAGGGGCTGGAGAGATGGCTCAGTGGTTAAGAGCATTTACTGCTCTTGCAGAGGTCCCAGGTTCAATTCCCAGCACCCACGTGGGCGGCTATGAACCGTCCTTAACTTCAGTTTCAGGGGAATCCGAAGCCCTCTTCTGACCTCCGTGCATTGCACGACACAGGTGCGCTCACATGCATGCAGGCAATACACTCATACACATGAAATAAAAATAATAAATAAAATGTTCAAAAAAGAAACGAATCTCAACTGTTTGGATCTGCATCCACTTAATGGGACAAAGACTAGCAAGGGGGCCTTTGTCTTGCTTTCAGTCAGTGGCACAGCACAGCATACCTTCAGGGGAGCACACTGCAGGGAGTCCGGTGAGGATAGCCAGAGCAGCTGAAACCAGTCCACTTCCGTCCTCGGACAACATCTGCGGCTTTGCAGCTTTTACCCCTGGGCTTCCTGTCAATTTAGGATTTAGCTCTGGGAGCTGTCTAACTAGGATGCAAACACACAGTTCCAGGGCTGCAAAGACCAGCGACTTCCCAGGCACAAATCCTCCTGTGCCCTTTCCTTCACCAAACTCCGGCAGGGTCTCCTTTTCCGCAGCCCCGTCATCAACTAAAAGTCAGAGAGAACAGCGATTTAGAAATACTTCCTACTTGCTTTGCTTCATGCAGACGGCAACTTAGTTCACTTCTGATACGGACAATATATTTAGTGGCTGAAGCCTTGGGGGTGAAAGGCTAAGGAGAAAGCAGCTCTGAATGAGAAGCAGTTTTCTTTATTATGACTTCTTACTGCAACGGACTAAAAAACAACAAAAAACCTTGTCAACTTGTCAGCGTTAAAACAGTGTCTGCTTAACCCCTCACTGCTGTTGGACGTGTGAGCCGACAGCTGGAGCTCAGCAGTGACTTTATCACCTTAGGTACTGCTAGTGGCTGGGCATGATGATAAGAAGAACCCTGCGCCCTGATGCCTCTAAGAAGTTGCCACACCTGCCCTACCTCTTGTTTTTGTTTTCGAGACAGGGTCTCCCTGCAGCCCGAGCTGGCCTGAACTATGCAGACTATGCTGGCCTTGAACTCACAGAGATCCTCCTGCCTCTGCCTCCCAAGTGCTGGGATAAAGGCGTGGTAGCTTGGCCTCTACCTCTTTTTATTTATTTACTCACTTTAACTACTTAATTATTCACATATGTTGCATGTATTTTTGTGGTGGCCAGAGGCCTAACCTTGGGTGTTCTGCCTCCTTAGGCAATGTCTACCTTTAAAAAAAGCCACCCAAACCATAACTTCATGTCGTGTGACTTTGTGTGTCTGTGGGTGCTGCATGTCACAGCATGCACGTGGAGGTCACACAACACCTGCTTTCTCCTTCCATTATGTAGGTCCTGGGGCCTGAACTCACGTCTTCCAACTTGGCAACAAGCGCCTTAACCCACTGAGTAATCTCAACAACCTCTACCTTGTTTGTTGAGATAAGGTCTCTCACAGGTGCTGGGGCCTGAACTCAGGTCCTTATGCTGTGTGGAAAGCACTTTCCCAACTGAGCTATCTTCCCAGCCCCCGGACCTCTTTTTAGAGAAGAGAATAAACAGTTCTGGTTTTAAACATTTTTTTTTAAATATTTTATTTATTATTTTATGTGTATGCATGTATTGCCTGCATGTAGGTAAGTGCAGAAGAGGTGTCGGATCTGCCGGGACTGGAGTTACGGACAGTTGTTAGCTGCCATGTGGGTGCTGGGATTCGAACCTGGGTCTTCTGCAAGAACTACCAATGTTCTTAACTGCTGAGCCATCTCTCCAGCCCACTTAAACATTTTGATTTTATTATTATTGTGTGTGTATGTGAGGTGACGCCAAGAAGGAAGGTTCACGTGTGCCGTGGCACTTATGTGGAGGTAATCCTCATGTTTTAAACTGTTACACTGGGTTTCTCTGGTGTGGAAGCAAACATGATCCTCAGTGAGAAACTCACTACTCCCACACTAGAGTTGAAAACAGGCGATTTCCAAACCAAAGATATTAAAAACTTTCAGCTGTTCTTTTCACACACACTGGCAAACTGTTACAGCAAGTGCTCTGGCAGCACAAGGGGTTTTTTTCTGTCCCAAGTTAAAAGAGTCTAATTTTCCCAAAGAACAGCAGCTTAGCCAGCCAACAACATACAAACCAACACTAGAATGAGAATTTAAAGTCAGGCCTAGAGATCAACCGTTTGTCCTACATCCATCCAACAGACACCAAGATCACACAGCTGAATTGAGGAACACTTTTAGAAACGGACTCCGGGCTGGGGATGCATCTCGGTGTTGAGGGGTAGAGCACTTGCCTGCTGTGTGCAAAGCCCTATGTTTGATTTGATTTCCAGAACTGGAATAAAGCTCGCTGTCATCAACGTGGCATTAAAGGCTAACGTTTACCTTCCGCACTTCGTCGTTTTTCCTTCACATGTTCTTGAGCTGCACAGATAATCTGCCTTCCCACCTCAAGTGAAGCCAACTGAACGGAAGGCGATTCCCTGGTCAAAATCACTCGGTGCAGCACGTTTAGCAATTCAATACCCAAGTCCTAGCAGAGAAAACGTGTAGTGGACAGACACTATTAGAAATCACGTCTTTGGGGGGAGGGAGGGTTAAAAATAACAATGTTAGATGCTGTGACAAAACTCAGAAAGAGGATAATACAAATTACTCATTAAAAATGATGATGCCAGTTCAATCTATGTAACAATATTTCTTGTGTTTGCTTTGAGGCAGTCTTATGCAGCCCTGTGTGGCGTCAAACTTGCCGAGGATGACCTTGAACGCCTGATTCTCCTGCCTTTACCTCCCCAGTGCTTGAATTTCAGGTGTGGAGCACTATGCCTGGCTTATAAAGTTTTAACCAATTCCAGAATGTTTCTTGGCTCATTTTGGTGGTAGAAATTTCCAAACCAGATGGGAGACGGGACCAAAGGAACAGAAAGGCTGACAGGGAGGTCCTCAGGTTCATATTCAGATGGCCTAGTAGTAACAATGAACGAAGGAGAAGCAGCATTAAAATGGATCTCTAACACACAGGGGAACCATTTTCCCTTCTCACTCTTTTTTTACAAAAAGATTTATTTATTGATTTTCTTACTTATTTTTTGAGACAGGGTTCCAGTATACAGCTCTGGCTGGCCTGGAATGCTCTATGTAGACCAGGTTGGTCTTAATCTCACAGAGATCTGCCTGCCTTTGCTGTCTGAGTGCTGGGATTAAAGGTGTAAAAGTGTGGGCCACCACACTTGGCTTTTTTTTTTATTTCTTTAAAAATTATGTACCTGTCTCTATGTGTCTGTGTTTGTGCATGCTGAGTACAGTACCCACAGAGGCCAAGAAAGGGTATCAGATCTCCTGGAGTTATAGGCAGGCGGTTGTGAGCTGCCCAACATGCGGTATGCGCTCCTAACCCTGAGCCACCTCTCCAGGTCTGCCCCTTTCTGGTTTTTAATTACTTATTCTGGTTGCTTTCTTTCCATCTTTAAGAATAATTGTCTAAATCTGTCACTAATAACACTTGTTTGAGGGCTGGACAGATGGCTCAGTGGTTAACAATGACACTCCTGCGGAGGATCACAGTTCAGTTCCCAGCACCCTCATGGGGCTGATTCCACCTGCCTGTAACTGCAGATCCAGGAGAGACTTCGGGGGGAACTCCCACAAATGTGCATGCGTACACACACACACACACACACACACACACACACACACACAAATAAAACCATTAAACGATAACTTGTTTGAACATCCATAGAAAGTAAGTACAACACAGTTTAAAATTTAGTCAAGTTCAATTCAACTCAGATAAGAACTTAGCTAATGTTTTAATACTAATTAATGATAGCACTATTTTTTTTGTTTTTTTGGTCTTTTTGAAACAGGGCCTGGAACTCAGTATGTAAACCAGGCTGCCCTTGAACTCACAGAGATCGACCTGCCTCTGCCTCCCAAGTGCTGGGACTACAGGCATGCGCCACCACACCTAGCTCGATAGCACTAATTAAATAATAGTTTAGAGGGAAAATCATAGTACTCATTTACTATTTATTTATTTATTTATTTATTTATTTTACTGTTTTTTCGAGACAAGGTCTCTCCTGTAGTCCCAGCTGGCCTGGTACTTGCTGCCTCTGCCTCCCAAATGCTGGGACTACAGGCATGCGCCACCACACCTGGCTAGTACTCATTTACTTTAACACCTGAGTCAATGACAACAAAATGTGGTGGAGAAGACATGATGCTGAGTGTCTCCCTGATACATATTTACTGTAGACAAAGAAGCCAGAGGGATACGCCACATCAAGTGACAGTCCTGTTATCACAGTCAGATTGGGTCACATGAGCGCTGGACTCCACCTACAGGCTAGTCAGTAATGTATTAAGAAGAGGGGCTCAGCAGTTAAGAGCACTGGCTACTCTTGTAGAGGACCCAAGTTCAGCTCCCAGCACCCACACGGTAGCTAACGACATTCTTAATTCCATTTCCAGGGGATCTGATGCCCTCTTCTAGCCTCTGTGGACACTGCCCACAAAGGTATATTTACATACATGAAGGTAAAACACACACATAAAACAGTAAAATAAATCACAAGGTTGTGAAGTGGCTATTTGTCAAAACCAGAATCTATAGCACAGACACCCAACACCGGAAGAAAGGAAAGATCTGGAGGAAAAGCCAGTGCAGTGAATACAGTCAGTCACAGAGCCTCTTGGGGAAATGCTGTAAGACAGAGATAGAGGCAAAGACTGGGGTGGACAGAAAGCAGAAAGGAAATGCCACCCGTAACCAATGGCAACTGTGCTGCACAATGCGACAGAGAACCCTCCCATCACTGCAGGTGGCAGCAGAGGCAGAGCGTGGCCGCCACAGGCCTGGCTGCTCCTGGGTTCCCACTGCTGCCCATGGCAGCCCAGGCCTGGTTGTGCAGCTTTGTTTTCTCTTTAGATCTCTGCTCAATTTCTGCTCCTGTGGTAACCCCAACATGTTTCTGTTCTTTGAAATGGACAGACACAAGACATCACCTGATCACTGCCAATTTTAGATCTGGGCCAAGGAACATCTAGAAGGGCTTGCAATGCATGTAAACATGCAGTAATGCTTTCCGTAGTTGCATCTGAGCGCAATGAACACAGAAATCCCACGCTAATTCCTGCAGAAAGAAAAAAGAAAAAGTGGCTTCTTTGAGACTCTTAGTTCATATTAAATAATTAATAGTCTATTTTAATAGGCTATACATATCAACTTATCAAAAAGGAAATTCAAGTAAATCGTGATTTTATATTTCTTTTTGTAGCGCAGACTGGTCTGGAATTTGTGCTGAACTCTTGATTCTCCTGTCTCTACCTCCAAGTACTGGGATTAGAGGTGTATGTCACCACACGTGGCTAATTTTCTTTTTAAAAAGTCATTGGGGATACCTTCTTAAAACCTGCAGTTATTGAGTACAACAAACTGAAAACACTTCAGCACATTCTTTTTTATGTATATTCTGAGAAATTCAGAACATTTGTAGATAGCACACAGATCTTGATCTGGGTTTGGTTCCCAGTACCTACTTCTGGGGCTCACAAGAGTCTGCACCTCCAGCTCCATGCATTCTGATGCCCTCTTCTGGCTTCCACAGGCACTGCATACATCTGGTACACATACAAACAGACAGACAGACACACACACACACACAAATAATAAAAACTGTACGGAAGGCTGGGTGTGGTGGCACACATCTGCGATTTCAGCACTTGGGAGGGCGAAGTGGCTTCCAGGTCAGCTTGGGTTAGACATACTGAGATTCTATCTTTGCTACTGTTGTTTGCTTTTTGAGACACGGTCTTACTATGTAGCCCTGGCTGGCCTGGACTGGCTTCCCCCCATCAACTGAACAAAAATCATGTGGAAAGAAAAGGACTAAGCTTCGCCTATTTCACTAAATCACTAAGCGTCTGTGATTTATTCAACTTATGCTGAAGCTAACTTGTAACAGGATCCTACTTACTATGATAAAATTTGTGACTTTATAAAATACACATGATACAGACATTAGAGCAAAGAATGAGGGAACAGCCCCAGGCTAAGGCACAGCTCAAGGGTAAAGCCTCTAGTGTTGTGAGCATTTGTACTGACCTAGAATCAGATGGAATCTGTCAGTGTAGACATCCTCTGGGGACTTTACTGCAGCCCCAGATGACGAGCCCTGACACATGGAAGTTGGCGTTACAGGTCTTGAGAAATTGGTGCCTCCTTCATCTGGGTCGGCAACAACAAAGCCCGTGCTGGTAAGCCACAGAGCTGCAGCATGGAGGATAAGGGCCCAGGAGCTGTGGTAATGCAGCCTTGCGTTTTCCATGGTCTCTGCTGTGTAGAAGGCACCACCTACCGAAGGGGAAAAAGGTAAAGTTTTAGAAGGGACGAAGAAATTACCTTCCAGTATTTTTATCTTTCACTGTTACAGGGTGAAGACCATGTCTAACTGCTGACATTTTTAAAGTTCGTTTGTACCTGGTTTCAGGGAAACCCTTATGTTCCAAGGCAAGTACTTTCTGGTCTCCATCAGCACACATTAGTTCAAGGCCAGCCTGGTCTACATAGTGAGTTCCAGGACAGCTGGGGCTACAGGGAGACTGTCTCAAAAAGACCAAAAA